TTGTTGTTAACAAATACTCAAGCCTCTAATATCTTTTCTCAATATTTTTACTCAAATATAAAAAAATTTGTATGGAATCCCAATCCATGTTAATCAAATAAACAACAGCTGAAATGTCATGTTCATATATTGCTCCAACCATTTCTCAAACTCATATTCACATATCAAAAATCAATGTAGGTAAGAGGAAGTAAAAATGCAAAAACCAAGACTTATTTGATATGTATGTAATCATTCCAAAAAAAGAAAAACCAACGTAGGAACCGACTAAATGTATATATCAACCAAAGATCACAAACCTATCAAACAAATCACAAAGCATACAGTCTTTGTATGTAAGAAAGGGGTTGTAGCCACTGAAAAAAGAGAAAGATACAATTCTCTGCTGCTTAGCATGTAAAAATCCAAAAAAAAAAAAGTCTTTTTATGCAAACCATACAACTCATAGAGCAAATCCACGAAGAAGAGATGAGAGGGAGAGAATATCGGAGGAAGATGGATTCAAACGCCAACAAAAAACTCAATCCAGATGTATCGATGAGTGAAGAGAATGTGTGGAGAAAAAGCCCTGAGCGGGACGGAGGGCGCGAAAGAAAATATTACTATATAACACGGAATAATCTAGCTCCCGATCGCGGTGTGGCTTCAGAGTGTTTAATAAACCACGCCCACGACACACCAAACAAATGATGAAATTTGCTGCAGCGGACCACGTCTCAGCTTCACAGCTGCTGCAAATGGACCCTAAGTTGAAAAAAAATAATCAATATAAAAACCAAAATTTTTATATAGAAAGCCTAAAAAGAGAAAAACTATGAGACATTGCCTAGTTGAAATATTCTCCTATAAGTTGGTGATTACAGGTACAACTTTCTATCCCACATGTAGGAAAGGGCCAAACAGTTTCTCAGATTAAAAAATTTATGCGTAGAAGAACTTGTTTCCCCATGGTAGGGAGCAGGCAACGACTGAGGGTGGTCAATTGTGGTCGGCGGGAGGCAGTCGGAATTGGCTGAAGACAGTGAAGGTTGGAGTCGTTTGGAGTCGACGATAGCGACCAGAGTTAGTTGGACGAGGAGGCTGCGACCAGAGTTGGAATTGGTTGACAGCGACAGAGGCTGGAGTTGGTTGTAGGCGACATCAGTCAAAATTGGTCGGAGGAGGCGATAATCAGAAGAAGCAGTGGCGGCAACCTGTGGAGGCGATAGTGACAAGAGTTGGTCAGAGGCATCGAAAGCTAAAGTTGGTCGGAGGTGGCATCAGCGGTCGGCAATAGAGGTGGACGCCGAAAGCAGTGACGGTAGTTATCGGAGGTGGCGGAGGCCAGAGGCGGCGGTGGTCAGAGTTGGTCGGATCTGAGATACAGGATGCTAGACTGCAACTCCCTCTTCTAAAGGCTTTGGTCTTCCTCCTGTCCTAAGTTTAGGTCCCCTCCTCAAGAGGGCGTTAGATGTCTATTTAATAAGTCCAGATTGCAAATAAAGAATGAATCCAAACAACTTTTGATCGGATGGCACAAGGAAATCACATTGATCGAATGATGTTTGATGGATATTTGAGTGTCTTAATGATATCAAAATTGAGCGATCTTGTACTCGTCGTATTCATCTTGTCGAGAAGCTCGATTTGAATATAACAAGTCATTTGAAATTTGTTTAACCTTCCAATTATGCCACGAAAGGCTCTTAAAAGTGGTTTAATGACTTTATTTGGATTTGATTTGACTCGAATTGAACCGATTTTAGTAACTTTGATATGTCCCGTCGAGTCGGTCAACATGACTACGAGTTTACTAAAATCAGGGTTCTTAATGACTTTTAATCAAAATTTAAATATTTCTTGCTCAAAAATTGATCTCGAGAACCGTGTCTACATGGAGATTTTTGTTGGATGATATTATTATTATTATTATTATTATTATTCTTTGTATTTAGGAGATTCTTGTGCCCATCATGACTCATCATTTTAACTTCTGGGATTTGAACATTAATTCAAAGCTGAAACTTTATTATTAATACAGTATCTAGCTCTCACATGCACTTGTTATAAAGAGAAACCAACGAATAGGGGTGATTAATGCCATTTGAATACTCTATATATATAGAAGAATTCGGCTCAAATTTTTAATCAATGAGTCACAGATCGTCATAGTTTTTCTTATATTCTTTTTGTTATAAAATGCCATTTATTAAGACTCGTCGCACCTAATATGATTATTTTGTTAAAGATAATACGGGTATAGGTGTTACAAGTAAACAAAAATTAAAAAAAAAAAAAAAAAGAAAAAAGTTTTTGCTTGAACAAAAATTTATGCGACTGTTCAATGTTTTTCTCGACATTTTATTATCTTATTTTTAATTCAATTTTCAGGCGGAGCATTTATGAGAGAAGAAACGATGGTGGTCCCCAAAATTTAAGAAAATAAAATTACATATATACCACTAAATTCTTATGTTTTTACATATCTGTCATCCAAACTAATTTTTTGATGTATGCCATCTTATCTGTGCAGGAAAATATGTATTTAATTTTTTAAAGTTGGAATGATAATATTTTGGACGTGATATAATATGTTTTGATGGTATAAATGTAATAAATAATGTTGAGATCTTAGACATTTAAATACCTCGAAATGCGGGAAAATTATTATATCAATTGCATCAGGTGTCCAATAACAGGTGCCACGTGGCAACTCAATCCCGGGTCATGTATGTCATTGGGCCCAAATTACATGGTATGTATAGTATATATAGATATATGATGTCCTAATTTTTAAATGTGATTATTTTAGTCCTAAAACTGTTTAGTTTTTTAAGTGAATTCATCAGCTCATCAAATTTGATTGAATTTGATCCAACCGTTAACCTATTTTTAATGAATGTTAATAAAATAAAACTTCTCGTTGAATTTTAAGTCAATACCAAATAATAATTCAAATTGACTAAATAACACTTTTTCTCTGACATTTTACCACGTAAAATGTCATCTCACGATTGCTTGAACCCAAAAAATAAATCGATGGGTCGACGGTATCCATTTTTAGCGTGCAACCCAATTTTTTGAATCGAAACGGTAAACTTTATACATCACAGTCGTTTCAGCGCGCAGGTGGTAGCTTAAATTTTGGCCAAATTTCATCATTCGGGCATTCAAATAAAGATTTTTATGTTTCTGGGATTTTCTTGCATCCTGACATGCTTAAAACAACGCAAAAGTGCAACGCAACATCTCAAAAATGGCCAGAAAATGATATATATGACTTATCAAAACATCATTCCATATATTATGTTGCATAACTTTCTGATGCTTCGTATTTTTGGATTGTATAATATCGCTTATCCTGTGCTTTATACCTTATAACAGATCATAGCATGGGCTTCAGGGGCCTAAAATGACCCAATGAGCCAACCATGTTCATTTTTGCGTGCAATCCCATTTTTTGAAATGAAATAGTCGACCATACATCACAGTCGGTGCAACACACCGACTACTACTTAAGAAAATTGGTTTATTTCCAAAAGCAGAAAAAAAAAAAAAGTATAGTATTACGTGTGTTGTTCTGATGGCATCCGAATTTTATATACAATAAAATCTTATGTATTTACATATTTAACATCAAAATTACATTTTTTGTGCATGTTACTGTGCATGAAAATATGGTGTGAAATACTTCGATGATATATATAAATGTAAAAAGTAATCTTTAGATCTTAAATATTTAATTACCTCAAATTGGGTGGTATGAATATAAATGCCCCAATTTTAAGTGTGTTCATTTTAGTTTTAAAAAGTTTTAATTTTTTAATTGAATTCCTCGACTCATCAAATTTGATCGGATTAGATCCATTGTTAACATTTTTTTAATGAATATTGAGATACTGGAGTGCTAGAAAATTTACAGCAGTAAAGTAATTGATTATAGTCATAGCGTTGCATAAAAATTAATCACACATTTAGATAAAAAATACAATCAGTACTGACACCATTAGTTTTTACGTGAAAAACCTGTAAAGAGGGATAAAACCATGAGGTCTGACCCAATTATAAAAAATTACTATAAGTTGATGATTACAGATATCTCTTGTCCCACAGGCGGGAAAGAATTATAAAGTTTTATGAATTACAAAGTTGACATGCGAATAAACTTGTTGCACATAATAGATGACGATAATGGTGATTGACGACGACTAGTGATCAGAAGTGGTTGAAAACTGTCAGGGTGGTTGACGGTGGCCGTGGATGGTCGGCAGCAGCAGCAGCAGCAATAGTGTTGGGCTTTAGCTTCTTCTCAAAGCTTCAAGCTCTTCCGCTAGTCTCAAGTTTTCCTTCCTTTCTCATAACAGAGGCGAGGCTATATTTATAGAGTTTTTGTTTCAATTAATGCATGAATATGACCTACTTTGATAAGGACGGTCCATATAAATTCACTCAATCGAGATGACGTGTGATTGACGTTTAGGAGCCTTGACGATGTCAGAATTGAGCGATCTTGGGCTCATTGAATTCGTCTTGTTGAGACGCTCAAATAGGCTATAAACTCTTCGGATTCGACATTTATTTGATCTTCCAAATATATCTGGAAAACTTTTAAAAGCAGTTTAATAGCTTGATCCAAGATTGATTTGACTCAGGTTTAACCAATTTTAATATCATTGGGTCTTGCTCGTCGAGCCAATTAGTTTAATTGTAAGTCTGCTAAAATCGAAGATCTGATTGACTCTGAAGTTTGAATATTTTTTTCCAAAAGATTATCTCGAAATTAATGTCGGATAATAAGAATTTATTAATGGCATATCAATAATAAAACTTTACCGTAAGATCATCTTGAATTTTTAATCACAAACAAATACTAATTCAAATTGATGTGTTCATTTCCAAATGAAAGAAAAATATTTCATATTTTATTATAATACATACAAATTTCTTGTACAATAATATTACACAAAATATACAAATCATTGCTCATAAAATTCGCATGGATCACGACAAAATACTAAGCATGCTGTCCTGTGATTTAAAATAAGCCCAAACTCAGAAGCTTATACAGTACAATTTATATGCAGCATTCTTTCACCGTATTCTTTGTTTAACCCGAACCCGAGTCCGCATTCCACTGGCAGCAGAAATAGCCCTTAGCGTCCAATGGTGTCGGAAATGGAATTGTTGGCCGGGGAAGCTCAACTACCACCCACCTTCTTTTCCTTGTCCAACAAACCATTTTAATGTAACAATGAATTCACCATTTCTCCCCTGCAGTAGTCTTCCCCTCCCATCTCCCATCACCCATCACCCCCCCTCTCCGTGCATCCTTAATTACCATTCAAGTCTGCTTAATTAATACCTCCCATCTCCTTGCTCCCATTATATAACTAATCCTCCCCTGTCACGCACGCAGCTCTTCGCCTTGCAAAATGTCTAAGCCACGTCCCAAACAGGGATTGATGCTGCGGGCAAGTTTGAAGAATCGCGCTGCGATGGCGGGGCGGTTGGTTAACGAGGTTGTCAGCTTCGTGGTCTTCACCGTCCTGGATCTGCTCGACGTCGTGCTCTGTTTGGCGTACAAGCTTCTCGACTATGCTTTTGAGGCGGAGTGGAAGCCGTGCTATTGCTCCTCTTCGGCGCGCGAAATGATAACGAGCAGCGGCAAGATACTCGTCTCGGAGAGAGGCGGCGGGTCTAAAGTCGTGTGCTTGTGCTCCAGCAAGATCCATCTTGAGGATATATCTGATACTCTGTATTCCCGTCCCCCGCTTCTGTCCGAGCTCTCGCGGTCCACCATGACGGAGCTTCGACGGTTGGGCTCAACGCGCTCGCACGCTGCGTCTGTCACCACATTTACGATCAACTCCACCATTGTGGAGATGCTGGAGGGGAAGATTGGCGGCCGGAAGTCTGACCCTGTTCCTCGCTGGTCGGACTGCGCTTGCAAGCGGTGTACGGGCTGGTGCTCGCCCTCCGCTTCCGGCGACTTATATGTACACGCGCAGTATCCGCCAGGTAAAGATTAAACTCCCATCTAAATTGAAACTACGCATTCAATCTTAATAATGTAATAATAACAATGGTTTTTATTAATTTTAATTTTTGCTATGGATGGCGATGATATATATAGAGCTGATACCGTTATCAGCTCTTAATGTAATTAAAAAATTAAGCTTTTTTAGTGTCCTCTATATTTGAAAGGCATAGAATGAAAGTTATTTCTGGAAAGAAATGAAACTTCATTGCATTTGCCTTAAAAATATAAACACAATCTATAGCAGTGATTCTCATTAAATTGATTAGGACATAACAAAGAAAAAAGTTTATTTTTATTTAAAAAGCATACTTAGAAACAGTGTTAAGCTTTTAATGTTTTAATGTAATGACATTCTTTAAATTTAATGCTATTAAACATCTTAATACACGTGATCATTTATTAATGAATCTGGCAACCTACTCTACCCCGATTTAAATTTCTTGACTTAATAATGTTCAACAGTAGTCATTATGCTCCACACCGCTTACCTAACATTAGTGACGGGCGGATGCAGATGGAGCGGTCGCGGCGGAGGACGTGTTGTTCATCCACGGCTTCATATCATCGTCAGCCTTTTGGACGGAGACTGTCTTTCCCAATTTCTCGGAGGCGGCTAAGTCCAGATACAGGTTTTTCGCTGTTGACTTGCTGGGCTTCGGCAGGAGCCCGAAGCCGGCGGATTCGCTGTACACTCTGCGGGAGCACGTGGACATGATCGAGCGCTCGGTGCTGAAGCGCTACCGGGTGCAGTCCTTACACATTGTGGCTCACTCTCTCGGCTGTATTCTCGCGCTGGCCCTCGCCGTTAAGTACCCCGACGCCATTAAATCACTCACTCTCCTCGCCCCGGTATCATAACACTGCCATTATCACAGTCAGGGTTAGTGTGGTGAATGGAGAAGATATGCAGGGTTATAATTAATTAATGTCTGATGGTGGTTTTGCAGCCGTACTTTCCGGTGCCGAAAGGGGTGCAGGGAACGCAATACGTGCTGAGAAGGGTGGCGCCGCGGCGGGTGTGGCCGCTGATAGCGCTGGGAGCGTCGGTGGCGTGCTGGTACGAACATATTAGCCGCACTGTGAGCTTACTCATGTGCAGGCACCACCGTTTCTGGGAATTCCTCTTTCGGCTCCTCACCTTTAACAGGTATCATTATTGCTCGCTTTTCCACCGAATCATAACAAATATATGATATGATTAAAATATTTTTACTTATGTAAAGATTTTTTTTAAATTTTTTTTATTCAGTTTGCATTGTTCTCTATAAGTATTTATCCTTCTCGTGGATTTCTCGACGATTTTTCTAATAAATTCATAATTTTTAAAAAATTGTAAATATTTATCACGCGGCAATCGGCCTGACACATCGAATTACAACGACAGCTAAAGTAAAGCCAATTGCCTGACATAGACACATGGCGGACTGTGATAGGCATGGATGAGCAAGAATTTATGAACTGCCCATTCGGATCTATTAGAAAGTGCCACAGAAGTACGGATAGGCATTGCCGCTCCGGCCATAAATTTTAGTTTATTAATAATGAAAATTGAAGTGGCACAATTTTATCAATATTTAATTTAAATTTGGCACATAAATATGAAAATTTAGATATCATATTTGTAAATACATATAAATTGTGTGATAGGTATGTAAATACCCCTAATTACGACATAAATTCTAGGTATAACTACTTTAACAATTCTCTTGAATCAAGTGAAAATGGCATATAATACAATTAAAATAATTTACGATTTGAGATAATACGCCCTTATTATTCTAACGCAAATGTTTTTGGAGCAAAAATATTAATTATAATTAAAGAAAATGTGATAAAATGCACATCATTTTTCTAGAGAAATTAATTTATTAGGCATAATTGTAAAAATTATGTTACACCTGTGTTTTAAATTATTGATTTTGCTTTAAAATTAATGCAGCATGTAAATCAGAAAATTTTATACCTATTTTCTATGCATTAAATTCGTAAATTATCACATAGTTTCTATTGATTTTTATACTATATTGTTGAGTTTAGGCTCTTTACTTCAATATTCAATTAATATCTTAAAGATTGAAGTGTAAATTTTAATTTTATCTAAATTAAAGGAGAATATATGCTTATGTTTTAAAAAAAAAAATAAATGAATGCAATTTGAAGAGAAAATGCCCATGAAATAAAATGTTTTAGGTTATATGTATCTTATATAGGGTCCGTTTGGGACAGCTGATAAGTGCGGGCGGCGTTTTCAAAACGACGTTGTACTATTTGGTTCGTGTGTTTTATCAGCTTATCTGAAACTGCGTTTGGGTTCTTACACTAAACGCAGGCCGCGGCAGGCACGCGGGCCGCGTTTCAGGATAAACAGCTTATCCTGAAATGCACAAGCTGCCCCAAATGGACCCATAGTCTTAAAATGTAGGAATGAAATTAAAAAAAATTAAATAAATAAAAATCGCAAAATTTAAAAATTAATGAATTACAAGTAGTTAAGCTTAAATTCTTCCCTTTTAAATTTGTTTTGAACATTTTATAAATATAAATAATATTCAGTTATTATTAAGTATTTGTGTTTATACGGGCAAAATTCTTAGTATATTTTATAATAATAAACAATAGTAAAAATTTTAAGGATGGCAAATATCTCTCCCAATTATCTTTGATTCCACCACCACATTTTATTTTGAGTTGAGTAAAGTAAAATAATCATTTGAGAAACAATATACTATATTGATTTTCAAATAAATTAAATGGTTTTAATATTATAAACATTTTTTTTTATTTTTGCTATATTCTTTGAACTTGTACTATTGTGCAGCCTAAAAGGATCTTATCATATAAAATATGTGGGCAATGAAGTTGCAGCATCACGCCGGCTTATTAATTGATTTTCTTGGAGGAAAACTCTTTATTATTTGTGAAGTATACTTGCTAAAAAAAACATTACCTTTTTTTCGTAAAATAGTTTAATATATAAAAAATTATGTGTTACTATCATATTGATAGTGTGTAATACATCTAGGGGTATCGATTTGGGTCTGCGGGTTGAGTTCAAGTTCGGCCCAAAACTAACACGACCTGAATAGACTCAACCTGAATCCGAGTCTGAACTGAATATTTTATGAGTTGAAAATCTCAACCCAAATTCAACTCGACCGTGACACCGATAATCATAACCTGCCCGTTTAACCTATTTAATATAAGTGAATAACTATTTGATTCAAAATCAAGTTAAAGATCGGGATCAATTTCATGTCAATTTCAGATAGGTGGGTCGAATTCTAGTAAATTTCAAGTATGGCGCGGGTTAGTTTTGGGTCGAATTAAATTACTTATTTTGTCCATATAATTTGAACTGAATTGGCATGACTAATAGCAAATATTTTTAATAAATAACTTTAAATTATGCATTTATCATGATGATTAGTGAATATCTATGGAAACATTCGCGTATTTTTATCCATTAACTTTAAGGACATTTCATAACATTATGAGTTATTAGGAAGCTAATCACATTATTTGTGCATGCGTGATGCGGAGGAACAGGATAAGGACATTTCTGATGGAGGGGTTCTTCTGCCACACGCACAACGCTGCATGGCACACCCTTCACAACATCATCTGCGGAAGCGCGGGGAAGATAGAAGGCTACCTAGACACGGTGAGGGAGAAGATGCGCACGTGCGAGGTGACGATTCTCCATGGCAGTGACGACGATGTCCTCCCCGTGAGCTGCAGCTCCGCCGTGAAGTCCAGAGTCCCACGTGCCAACCTCCGCCTCATCAACGGCAAGGATCACATCACCATCGTCATCGGACGCCAGAAGGCCTTCACCAGAGAGCTCGAGCAGATCTGGGCCGCTGCGAATCTCAAAGCAAACTTCACCCGTCGAACCCTGATGGAAACGAAAAGGCAGAAAGCAGAGGGTGGGAGGGGAGATTTGTGAACAGATTGCAGATGGGATTTTCCTTTTTTTTTTTTTAATGTTCGGAAATTATTAATGTTCGGAAATTATAAAGTTGAAGTTGTTGGGCATGTGTATTATGTATTCATTAATTGGCTGATAAATTTGAGGCCAGAAAGGTTCGAGTAAGGGGACAGCACTCTTAAAAATAGAATCATACATAGAACATGGGTACATTAAATTTCATTAATTTATAGAATAAAAGAGTATGCATTTATATGTTTTTCTTTTTTTATCTTTATTTATTGTCGTGGGGAAATATTAACTTACATGAATGTTGTTTGATATATGTAATTTTAGACTTCGAGCATGATATAATATTAGTTCAACCATATCTCTATACACCAGGCCTTGAATTAAAAATCTTTTGATAGGAGACCAATCTATCAACCATTAGGCCAAAGGAGTTGCACTTTAGTTTTTTGAATGTATTTTTATTGCAAGTGCAATAAATTTTGGGATGATAAATTAACATTTAAAAGAGAACGATTTGATGGAGTTGATTTAGTTGGAAGAAGTATGACAACATGAAGGGATGATGATGGAGAGGACTAGCGACATCAAAAGAGACAATCTAATGGGTTCCGCCTCTGCAAATGGCAAGGAACTGCATGAGGCATTAGAGCTTAGAGTGGCAATGGCTAAATCGTGACAATGGATATCTGAGACATAGTGAATGAATATAAAGAAAATTAAAAATTTTGTTGTAATGACAATTCTATGTTGCATGCAAAATATGCTCATAATTTTTAAAATTTTATTTTTTGACACCAAATATCAAAAAGCAAAGAAAATAACATGCCCACTTTTTACTTTATGCTCCTTATGTTTACAATTAAACAACCCCCTAGTTACCATGGATGGTCCTCAGCCCAAGTCAACAAACTTCAATGAATCACATTTAATACAATTCTTTTCTAATCTAACTTATAATAAATTAGCAAATCTAACCACACTTCCAACTTCTAATAAACACCCAGTACTGTCTCAAACAGCCCTCTTACATTCTAAACTCAAAAGCCTACGAATTTTTCGAATCAGAAAAAGCATTTATAATGACGGACGGGCAGAGGGGTCGCCGTATTAAATTGCGAGCAAGTAATTGATATTATGCAGTGTCAGAAATATTCAAAGTGGTGGCATAAATGAAAAAGGATTGCTTGCAGGCTTGCAGCAAGGGTGGGGTCCCTCTCACTTATATGTGCTTAATTGGTGGATTATTGGTGAGATTAGGTTGGGTAGATTAAGCCTTAATATTCGTGGTTAGCTCTAACAAAATTACTAAATTAATTAGAATAAACTTTTTTCTTTTTCTTTTTTACTTTTAAAGTTCAGCATGTGGATGATCAAGGCAAGCTGAAGAGTTTGGCTGGACAGTACGGCAGTACCAAATATGGGGTTTTGCGTAATCATGGAGATTAGTGATAATTAAGTATAAAAAAGGTGATTGAAGAAGGGAATATATATAGATGTTGGGTGTAACAATCTTGGAATAAGTCGTGAATTTATATTAATGTAATTAGATGCATTAGATGATGACTCTTGTATTTGATTAAGGTTTGAGTTAGGAGTGATGGATTGACACTTGGACTTTGATTAGTGTTTAAACAAGGCCCTAAGCACGAGGGCCGACATTATCATGTGCAAGGATTTGTTTAATCAGCTTTTTTCTTTTGCTTCTTTTATAATTGGAGACTTGTGCTTCTACACAAACGGGGGATGTCTTTCTCGAAGCTGGAGTTGAGATTATTTTACGTAGCTTGTGTGGACTTTAGGGGAAGAGGTAGTTTAATTTCGATGATCCATATGTATTTTGTGGGGATTAATTGGATGGTATTGATTAAAGTCAAATTGTTTGGCTAGTCTGATGAGCCTTGATCTTGATTAACTAATCAAGTTCAAGCTCGAGCTCAAGTTTAATTCTATGAGTTCGAGCAGGCACGTGTAGGCTTATTTAACATGAAAGAGAGAGAAATATGTTAACTTAAATGTAATGTTATGATAAAATGAGAAATATAATGAGCAAAGCCTTGAGCTTGATTAACTAATTGGTTTAAGCTCTGAGCTCGATTTTAATTCTATGAGTTTGAGCAGGCACATGTTGGTTTGTTTAGCATGAAAAAAAAATGTATTAACTTTCAACCAGTGTTATAATAAAATGAGAAGTATAATGAACATTTAGGTGATAATTACTAAGAAATCATTTAATATAAAAAAAAAATTAAATATTAGTTTTTTTTAACATTTTAATAATTTAAAGAAAATTTGTTGAATTTTAATATGTTTTAAGTATATTTTTAATTTTTATTTTTAAACTAGTTGACTCACGAGCTAATGAGTCGAGTCGGGGCTGGCTTGTTAGCTAATTGAGTTTAGTTCACAAGCCACTTATTGAGCCGAGCACCAACATCACTCATAGGTTGTGGATGAATTACCTTAGTTGAGTTTAGTATATATTATTCAGTTCACCAACAGCATTACCATTCAAAATTTTCCAAGTGTCAGATTTTTTAATTAATTTATTAATCAAGTTCAAGCCATATTGTAAATTCAATTAAATTTTGATAGGATGCTAATAATTTTAAAAAAATTAATCTTAATACTAATAAAACTTATACTCATAGTTTTCATCATTTTTTTTAATAATTCAATTAACACTAATCTCTATAGTGTCTTAAGAATATAAATTTATATTTGTAATTTATAAATTTATCTATTTATTTAATTTATGACTTATGTATCATAATCCAATATCATTAAAAATAAATTATGAAGTTATTTACGCCAATTTTTAAATTATTTAATCCTAAAAAAATCAATATGTGAATATATAGTAAGTATTTGAAATGTCTATTTTAATAAACAAATACGTAAACGTAAACAAATTTACAATTAAGTTAATGTTTATATTTATTTAAAGTTTGTCTAACTAATTTAAATAATTTTAAAAATTATTTAAAGTTATCTAAATAATTGAATAGACAAATATTGCGAGTAGGGTTGTAAACGAGCCAAGCTTGAGCGAGCTCAGGCTGGGCTCGTGTTTGGCTCGTTCGAAATCAGCTTGTGTTCGAAATCGGCTCGTGAACAGTGTGTTCGTGTTCGACTCGATTTAAATATTCGTGTTCGTGTTCGGCTCGAAATTGACTCGTTAAACTAAAATTGAGAAAAATAGATGTAAAGTGTGAGATTCTAACCTGGATCAAATATATACAAAAGAAAACACTAACCACATTGCCACATGAGATGTTATGATTTATAGTCGAACACGAGCGAACAAACTGTTGTTCGTGTTCGGCTGTTTACATCTCGAGCTTAAAAATTTGTTCGTGTTCAACTCGTTAGGCTTAACAAACGAGCCGAATATGAGCTGCTTAACGAGCCGAACACGAGCTGTTCACGAATTGACAGCCCTAATTGAGAGCCGTTCATTAAAAGTATTATTTACAGCCTTATCCGCTGCATTTTGTTGGTCTGTAGAATCGCAGCATGTCTTGTTTTACATATAAATTAATGGTTTTAAGTGGAGCATGCATTATAAAATTATACAATTGAAAAACAAAGGAATAATTTTCATTTATTTGACTTTCTGTAAGTGGCATTCAACGATATTTATTGCAGGATGTGCTCACTCGCTCAGTTTTTCACTACTTTATGATATTACATACATGCCCCTCAAAATCTTTCTATTTAGCAAACTAGCAACTTATTTCATCTTTTTTTTTTTTTTTTTTATTTTCTCCCAATAACAACAACAGCAAGCCTTTATCCCACTTAGATTCTCCATTGTGTTCTATTAAGTGTAGGATTTTATTTTAATTCTAATAAATTAATATCATATTTTATAAAAAATGACTTTATCTTTTTAGGCTTATGTCTACCATCCTTAGCATGAGTCGAATCTAAAACATTTACTATCTTGACTAGATCACGTGATGGTCAATTTTTAATGTGGGCAAATCATCTAAGACAACTCTCTCTAATCTTGTATAAATTGGAGCTACAACAACTCTTTCAAGGATATATTAGCTTCGCATATTGTGTTAAAGTGTAAAACCACTCATCCACCCAACCATTCTCATCTCAACAATACTTAACTTTTTTTTTTAATGCTTATCTTTTATTTATCAACATTCTGTGTCGTAAAGCATTACATGTCGCACCACCATCTTATAACATTTTCATTCAAGTCTGCGTGGTACTTTTTTTTTATCAAACAATAGACCCAATGTATTCCTTCAATTCAACCATCCAACTCGAATTGTAATAATAACATTAATCATCATCTATATCACCATCACTTTGAGCAGTAGACCTGAGATATCTAAAACATTTACCTCTTTTAAGGACTTGGTCACCAATTATTACAACTCTGCCATTAGATCTACTACTACTATTAAAATTACACTCCATGTATTCAATTTTAGATCTACTCATATGAAATTCTTTAGACTTGATGTAAAGTTGATTTCTAGAAATCAATTTTTTTCCCAAACTATTTCTCTAGATTTATCCACAAGAAGGATGTCATCACTAAAAAGCATAAAGCATGGTACATCTTTCAATAAATATCCAATAACATTCATAACTAAAGCAAAAAGATGTGGACTTAAAATTGATTTCCAATGTAATTTAATTGAAATAGAAAAATATATTGTTAATCCTCCCTCTATTCATACACTATTAATAACTCTATTATACCTATCTTTAATGACTTGAAAATAAGTCATATCAATTCTTTTTTTAAGAATTCTCTTGGAATCTTATCATAAGCTTTTTCTAAATCAATAAAAATCATATATGGATTCCCCTTACTTTCTATGTACTTCTCCATCAGACCTTCAAATAAATAAATAGCCTCCATAAAAGACTTGTCTGCACAAATCCAAACTAATTTTGAGAAATTTTTGTATCTCGTCTTAACATATGCTCAATTACTATTTAATCTCTCCCATAATTTTGATGTATGACAAATTAACTTAATTCCTCTATAATTTGCATAATCTTGTGTGTTCATTTTACTCTTAAGAATATG